TTTGTTGTTTTTTTTTTTTTTTTGGTACCGGGAGGAATCGAACTCGGGTCCTTGTGCATGCCAGGCAAGTGGACGAACCACTAACTAAATCCCCACCCTTACTTGGCTTTTTTAAAGTAGTTTTCATAAAAATGTTACCATGATTTGTTTATTATTTTCTTCATAAATATTTAAAAATTTGTTCTGATTTGATTGGCTCCTGATAGCTATAATCCACATAAAGGAAAGCTCTTTGAGGTACTGGTTACTTTTTACATGTAAAAGGGTACAGAGATAATAGAATTTGAGATCTCTGTTGGTTTGTTGTGGAAGGTTTGGGAGTCGAGACTACAATAGAGGTTAGCTTGGGAAAGGTGATATATCTGAGACATAAACTAGGGGCTCAGCAACATATTTGGAGAATGAACATAAAGTACTGATCTTGTCAGGTGATGGAGTTCGAGCGAGTACTTTGAGACAGTGATGGACTAGAGAGCTGCAATTTTAGAGCTGGATTGTACTAGGTTCACATTCCAGCTGTTACTAAGTACGTGTAGCCTTAGGCAAATTGTTCAAACTTCAGGCCTCAGTTTCCTTATCTGTTAAATGAGATTGTCTTCTATTGAGATCATACAAATATTGCTGCATAGTAGTTGGAAGCAGAGACTTGAGTCATACTTGGGTTAAAATAATATTTATACGACTTCTCTATGACCTCAGGTGACTGACTTATTCTCTGGTACTTCTTTCTTCATATAAGGAGAATAATGTGTCTACTTGTATGAGTGCTGGCGGTTAAATGAAGTAATGTGTGTAAAGTGCATGATGGGTCTGATAGCTCAAAAAACCAGCTTGACTCTAACCCTCATAAGCACAAGGTCCCTAGTTCAGTCCCCCGTACAAAAGGAAGAAGAAGAAGAAGAAACCAGCTTTCAGCTGTGTACACAGTGCAGTCCATGGCAGATAGTTGCTCAGCACATTTTTGCCACTACCCCCATCTGTTTGTTTGCTCTTGTTTTGCCATAACACGTTAGTAAGATGAAATTTACAGTTTGTGCCCTTGCTGTTTGACTCATGCTATCCCAGAACCAGTATTTTCAGTTTCCTTGTATACTCAGATTTTTTTTTTTTTAATGTCTGGTTTCCATGGATTTTTGCCTTCAACATTAGAAGCCCAGATATTAATGTTTTATATTCTTGGTAACATGAGCACTGCTTCTGTTGCTTCTTTTGGCAGTCTTAGGAAATGGTTGCTTTTTTACTATCACAATTCATCGCCTTAAATTTATATAAACATTCACTGAGTACTTATTTACCAGACTCTGGAGATACAAAATATGGAAAATATAAGTGCTTAAAGCCTATTTTGTGGAAAATGAATTAGGCATATTAAAAAATTAAAATGAAGTTAATACAACACTAGACATTTTTTAAAGGTTTAGCAGCTCAGAGCAGGGAACAGTTAATTCCTGTTTGAGACTGTGAGGAAGGTTGTAATGATCTTTTTGAAATTAGATATCTGAGTTGGCATTGGAAGGATGAGCAGGGACTTTTCAATATCGGGCATTTCGGGAAGAAGCCGTAGCATGTACTATGGCATTTAGGTTTGTTAGACGCATCTGGGAATTGAGGCGGTCCGTGATGAGGCTAGAGAGGCACAAAGGAGACAGGACATAGAAGCACACATTATTTGATGATCCTGTGTTTCCTCTGTTTATTAGTTTAATGCATACAGTTAGCCCCCCATATCTCAACCAAGTGCAGACTGAAAATATTTAAAAATAAGTTGCATTTGTACTATTTTCTAGTCCTTATTCTGTAAGCAGTATAGTACAGCAGCTATTTATACATTAGGTGTTACAAGTCTCTAGCAGTGATTTAAAATATATGGGAAGGTATGCATAGGTTATATGCAAATCCAATGCCGTTTTACAGGAGAGGCTTGAATATCCTCAAATTTTGATGTATCCTGGGAGTTTTGGAACCAGCTGTCCGGGAACTAGTCCTTCACAGATAGCTGGCAAAGACTGTATTTGAGCTGTTTTTTTGTGTCATGTGCAGTGCCAGATTCCAAGGGGACTAGGGAACAAGGTGTAGTTCTAGGACTATGAAGTAAAAGTATGTTGTAAGAAAGTCACTAAGGACAGTATTTAGATGGAGAAGAGATCTGAGACTCGAATTAGGTTATTTTTTGATATATGTAATTTGATTTCCTTTGTTTCCTTTTTTATTTTTATCGACCATAACAAAATCCTGTTTAAGATATACAACATGATTTGAAATACATATATGTTGTGAAGTAATTACAAGCAAGTTAATATTCACTTCACATACAGCTTAATTCCTATTGCATAGAAGAGTTTTAGAATAGCACAAATCAAAAATACTGTACTCTTAAACGGAAAAGATGTGCCCAGCATGTTACTTCCAGAGACAGATAAAAAGTTAAATGCACATCCTAGACCTTTTCTCGATGTCTCTACATTAATGCACTTTCTTTTCCATTTTAAAACATTGTCATTTTCCTGCTTTTTATTCCACCAAAAGCATGACTTGAAGCTCATTTCTTTTAGTTTACAGAGTCTCCCCCCCAAAAAATGTATACACACTTCAGGAAAAGAAAAATAGCATAATGTTTTTCCAACAGATGGTGTTACCCTTGTATGGGGGACCCTAGAGGATGTCATCTATTGCAGAAAACCCACTGTACTGCCGACCCTTAGAGGAGAAATTGAAAATGCATGTGCAGTAATCTCAGTGACCAAGGTTGCCCAAATAGCAGTTTGCTGCATTAATGAATGTCTAGAAGCTCATGGCCACCACTTTGAGCACCTCTTGTCATTGTAGAGGCCAAAGGTAACTTTAAATTTAGTTTTAAAGTTTATCTTTTCCTGAAGTGTGTCTACATTTTTTTTGGCAGACTCTTAAAATGTGTAGACTTTATTGAGCTCTCTTCTCCACAATAAGGTATGAAAACAGCGGGCTGAAGTAAATTCGGCATGGAATTATTAGAAACATGAGTTACATGGTTTTGGGTCTACATATCAAAACTAGATTTCAGAATAGTTTTGTAGGACATTAAGTAAAGCAATTGTTTTATCTAAACTTGCTTTGTGGACAGTGTTCATGGTTGTGTTGGAGAAAACTGAGCACTTTATGATCCTCTGTGGAGGCTGCAGTGGGGAAGAGAAGGGTTAATAAAGCAGTTTAACCTTGAAGTATGCATGAGATTTCAGTGTGCAAATAGTATAACTTATGGTTTGAAGATAGGAAGATGTGCACTTCTGAAGGATAGCAGTTTGCTTAGTGGCGTTGACAGTTACAGAGACAAGTGTGTTGCATGGTGGCACACATCTGTGAACCCAGCACTCTGGGAGGCTGAGGCAGGAGCTTCTCAAGTTTGAGCCGAGCTTGGGCAACTTAGCAATTTAATTTAGCAAGATCCTGTCTCAGAATACTGTAAGATATATGAAAAGGGCAGGGAATGTAATTCAGTGTGTACTGGGTGGGAGGAGAAAGAGCAAAGTTAAAAGTGGGACAAAAGTTTGGAAAGATAGGGCATTTTGAAATCTAACTGTACAGCCTGAATTCTTTTTCTTTTTCTTTTTCTTCTTTTTTTTTAGTTCTTTTGGTTTTTTGAGACAGGGTCTCACTATGTAGTTGAGACTGACCTGGAACTCACTATGTAGCCAGGCTGGTCTCAAACTCACAGTGATCCTCCTGCCTCAGCCTCCCTTGTGCTGGGATTACAGGAGTGTGCCACCACGCCCGGCTCCTGAATTTGTTTTCTAAGCAGTAGAGATCTTAATAGGGAGTAGAGTAGATGACAGAGTCATTGTTTTAAAGCTACACTGGACCAGAAATCAGCAGGAGAGTTTTTAAGAGCTGGAATGGGGGATCTTAGATCATTTGTGTTTGGCTTGCTAACTGACTTTGCCTAAAGGAAAAGTAAACTTTCTCTTACCCTCATGACAAGAGGTAGTTTCACAGCTTGGAGCAAAATGCTCCCTGAAGTTCAGCTCCTACCCAGCACCCGCAAAGATGGAAGAGGGAGTGACCATCTTTTTTTTTTTTTTTTTTTTGGTACTGGGGATTGAACTCGGGTCCTTGAGCTTGCCAGGCATGCCACCGAACCACTGAGCTAAATCCCTGGCCCCAGAAGTAATCATCTTGCTTGATGATTATATTTTGAAATGATGGCTCCTGGGTCCTTATAAACTTGTCAGTTATTGTAGTCAGAAGTCTTAACAAAGGATGGCTCTTTTTACTGAAGTTTGCAGTTCATTAGAACTCAACTGTAGGAAGAATGGTATATCTAAATTGTAATTCCAAAATTATAAGAACCAATTAGAAGAAATCAGAGTGGTGGCATACTGAATATGTTTCAGTCCCTTATAATTATAATTCGTTTTGCTCAGATTATCACAACTTTGGTCAGTGAGGCAGACTCTCTCTAGCTGATTCCTGTGTTATGCTGACATGATGACCCCATTAGATTTAGTTTTTGGCCCTGAAAGATAGCCCATTCTCGCTCTTGCTTTCTGTCTCTGTCTTTATTTATCTCTCTGTGTCTGTGCAGTAATGGGGTTTGCATCTAGAAGTTTCATGCAGAGTCACACACATTTATACTGGCCGCCCTTGTGGTGTTGGGAGATTTAGACCAAGGCCTTCACACTGATTTATGCCTCCGGGCCTGCCTGCCTTTGTTTTATTTTTATTTTTTTGAGACAGGATCTCACTGAGTTGCCAGCGTCAGATTCAAACTTGAGATTCTCCTATTCAACCTCCCAGAGGGTCCATGCTCATTTTATAGATTTCCTGGCCCACACTTACAGTTGGCTATTGTATAAAGAGCTTTACTTCAGTGAGTTTTGCTTTCTTGGTACAGTAGGCATCCCCAGCTCTTGTTCATGGTTTCTTTCTGTGGTTTCAGTTATTTATCCTTGATCAGTTGTGGATCAAAATAATAAAGGAAAATTTCACAAATAAACCCTTCATGTGTTTGAAGTTGCACACTCTCGTGGGTAATGTGTGTGATGAAATCTTGTGCCATTCTGTGCTCAGGAAGTGAATTCAGTTTTTACTGTGTATACACTACACACCATTAATCAGTTATTCTCTCTCTCTGGAATATCAGATTGGCTGTCACCGTATCACAGAGGTAGTGTTCTACTAAGTCATGTATTTGCCTAACATCCTCAGAATGTGAAAGTAGTAATGCTGTTGATTTGGATGGTGCCAGAGAGAGGTTATAAAATGCTTCATTTAAGTGGAAAGTGGAAGTTATTAACTTAATTGGGGAAGATTAGTTGCTAAGATCTACTGTAAAAGTGATTCTTATATGTAATACTTGAAATGGTGAAGAAGAGAAAAGAAATTTATGCTGCCAAACTGAAGTTACAGCCACAGTGTGTGGTAAGTACTCAGTTCAGATGTAAAAGGAGTTAAATTTCATGGTTTGGTAGTAGCTACACTTTCACATGGACACTAAAGGTTTTGGAATGTACTTACCTTACCCATGAAAAGGGGGAACTTCTCTTTTGAAGTGGTGTTACCCCAGAAGTGGTGTTACACTGCTTTCTGGAACACTTCAGGGACTAGTTAGAACTAAATTAAAAATCCTGAGTTTGTATTGATACTTTCAAATCAGTTTAGTATTATTGTTTTCGTTTAATTTGTTTGATTAATAAAAGTTATCTTACCCAGTATTCGTGGTTCCTAACATTGACGTAAGCACTTACTTGCTTAGTCTTACAATTTGAAATAAATAATTCAGTATGATTCTAGTACCCTGCTTTATTATCCTTTTCACAGCTGCCTGGGTGTATGATAGTTTTATTTAACCATGTATTCTTTTTTGTTTTTTAATTTTTGAGGCAGGGTCTCACTTTGTAAATCAGGTTTGATTTTCTTTCTTTCTTTCTTTTT